TTTAATGTAAATTTAATGTAAAGACATTAGCAGGTGGTAAATAGGCTTTCCTGTTTCTACTACCATCTCAGCAAGGCCAGCTGTTACATCTCTGGTGTAGCAGAGCTGAGAATACTTTGAAAAGTCCCCCAACAGGAAGAGGGGCAAGGAAACACAAGGGTCAACACAATATATGCCAAAAAAAAAAAAAAAGTAGTATTTTATGTTTGGAATTCACTCTGCTTTATTCTTGCTGCTTTAAAAAGTATCTAGAGTTTTTTTATATATATACATACATATACACACACACATATATATATATGCACATACATGTATATACACATCTCTGCTTAATGGTTCCCTGTACTGCCTGAGGAGGTCTCAGTACATGTCTATAAACAACAGATCCTGAAGAACAAATTTCTACCCCCTCTAAGGAGCTTTCAGCCAAGGATGTGACTGAGCATTTAAAATGTCCCGGGCTCTCTTTCCACTTCACTGGCACACAGACAGAAAGTAAATCTTTTGCAGTACTACCATGAGAGATAAGGAGACCACACCTGTCACAGGGAAGAGTTTCACCATGTCATCTGGGGGAGAAGCAATGTGATGCCACTTGGTCAATCAACAAGTAATTGCTCTGTTTGCACCCAAGCAGAATCTGCTGTGGCCTTTTTCTCAGCTGTAGCAAATGAGGCTCTCAGCTCCTTTTCCTAGGCTGAGCAGAGGCCTGCTTGAGGTTTCCTTCAGCAGTAACACCTCTTTTATCTCATCCTGCTGGGTGGGCTTTTAGCTCTTGTCCTCTCCATTTGTGAATCCTCTTAACTCTTCCCATCTCCATTGTTGCTGTCTCCTTTCCATCAGCAGATTCTTCCTATGTATTTATTCCCTGGTGTCCTTGCTGAGAGATGGTGCCAGCTCCCTGAAAGTGATACAGCCCAGCAGTTCAGATGCCCCTGCTCCTGCCAGATGACTCCAGGTAAGAGAGGGAGAATCCCAAAGCTCGATAGATGAAAGAAGCTCTAAGGATGAGGCGAATGACTTGGAAGTTAACATGTCTTTCCTTCCCCATTGGAGAGAAGGACAGATATCTTTGCTGATACAGCTGTGGGAGGGATAGTTGCCATATAGAGCTTGGTTGCTGGTCTCAGGTGCATCTTGTTGAGACTAAAGGGAAGGCTGGACTCTTCCATGGGCACGATACTGGTAAGCAAAAAAACTGCAGGAGACAGACAGCACTTGGCTCCCACTGAGCCCAGATGTGTGGGTACAGGAGCATGTGAGGGATATCAGTGCCTGGAATGTGTTGGATACCTCCACACCCAGGTACCTTGTACCCATTATACCCATCCAGCTCCTGCACACTCTTGTTCTGTGTCTCCGTTTGCTCTTTGCTTTCTAAGGAAAGAAGAGAGTCAATGACTGAGGCAGTTTCGTAAGGTTATGGACTGGCCTGTTTTCCTGTGCTCGGTGGATTCACTTTAGTGCTTGGGGCTTAGCAAAAAGGGCTCTTACTGAGGTGGATGCCGGGTCTCCTGCAGCAAATATTGCAGAGCTAAATGTCACTCTACCCTTTCTGCACAAATCTTCCCATCTTGCATGAACTTTGAAGGAGAAAATGCTTTTCCTACTGAAGGCATGAACCAATTCAGAAAAGAGATAAATGAAGGCTGGAGTATTAGAGTCTGTAATTAAATAAAAAGATGGATGTTTTAATGGAGGAGATGATAACCTTAGACCAACTTGAGCAGTGATCCACATCTCTGATTGGCTCTGCTCAGTTGTCGTGAGCTTCTTGGCGCTACAGGAATGATGCATTCACTCCCTCAGCCTCATGGTATGAGACAGAGCAGGTCAGCTGAGCAGTAGAAGATGAGTATTGAGGATGAGTAGACCAAGGTCTGACAGGTTCCTCAAGCTGAACAATTCATTTTTCATAAAACAATTACTTAGCCTGGAGTAGGGACGTGGGAAGAGCAGTGCAAGTTGGTATTTGCCCTCAGGGAATTACAGCCTTTGCAAGGGGAAAGAAATACTTTCTTCCTCTTGTCTATGCCAAATAAAACAAGGGAGAGACTTAATTACATTATCACTGAATATTAATCTATTAATCACTGAATATTAACCTTAGGAGCGTCTTTAATACAAGTACTGGAAAGCTTGTGGGGCCTCCAACTTTACAGGGAGGTGCTGTAAGAATAAGTTAGGCAAATACCTGTCAGAAATGAGTGAAGTAGAGTTGATTCCTCAAAAGGGAAGAGAGAGATCTCAGGAGATGTTTTATGGCAACCTTAGTTTCATTTCAGCGTCACTGAAATGTGTTCTTCTTTATTATGTTTTGCTTTGAAAGTTCAAAGGGGATTGGAATGAGATTTGTTGCTCTGTGTGTTTGTGTGTATATATATAAATAATACATATATATAAAGTATGTATTTTATACACATGTGTATAAACTTATAGAATGATGGACAAAATGATTCTCTAATTGCCTGTGAAAATTTTATTTATGTTCTCAGGAAGTGTTCAGACCTAGTGAGCTAAAGAAGGTGTATTCACTTATTCACTGTGTCAGCAGAGGAAATGCAGGATTGTAACAGAGCTGGATAAACGGCTTTGTAAGAGCATGAGGGGATGTTGAAGGTTGTAGGCTCAGTTTTGAGGCCTTCATCTGCTTTTACTTTTTTTGATGCATCTGCAAGGACAGTATCCAAAATATACCTAGGCTAAGGTAGTTTTACAAGGGTGACTAGCTTTTCTCAGTTTCTGATATGCGTTTTTCTCTCTATATACCTCACTGCTATTTACATCTTCCCTCATGTATTTGTTACCTTTTTGATAATGTGAACTTTAGCATCAAGTACAAGTCAGGTTTAAATTGTGAAGTTGAGGCCATGGTGCTTTGGCAGGAAGCAGTCACAGAGCAGGCTCTTATGAGGTATCTTAGCAAAGATGCTTGCTTAGAACCAAAAGCTTGATTAAAGAAGCTGTTTTCTTTCTCCAAGACCTTCCCGAGAGTGAGACCCTGACAAGCTTCTGTTGCAGAGCAGTAGATGAGAGCTGGGAAACAGAGAGGAAGGGGCTGCCTGTCCAATGCAGCCTTGGCAAGGTGGAAGCTCTGAATTCATTCTCCAGGCCAGGAGCAGGCCCTTACAGCCATATTCTCTCCTGCCTTTTTGGAAATGCTTTTTTTTTTTTTTTTTCCATGATTAGAACTATATGCCTTGCTGAGAAGCTTCCAACTGCTTGGGCACCAGTCCTAACCAAACTTGGATCTTGTCACTGAGTTTTCTTAATGTGTTAAGAAACACCACAGCAGTAGCTGGTGCGTCACTTGCTTTGACTGGCTTTCTCACTGTTGCTCTGTGCTAGTCTATATTGCCGCCTAGGAGGAGCATGAGAGTATCCAAGCCCTGTGTGGCACACATCCCTGCAGCACAGTGCACTCTTTGCTCTCCAAATAGCTGCAGAGGGTATTTCTGCACTGCCCTCTCAAATGTGAGGGGCCAGGCCCCAGGCATTCCCAACTGGCTGTATAGCTGCAGGAGAAGCTAGTGTAATAAGCTGTGTATCAAGTGAAAACAAGCCTGAGGCCATAAAGTGCTTCATCTGGCAAGCCTGGCTTTGGGCTAGAAAGAGGGACGTGCCCAAGATACAGCAGGACCTCAGGGAAGCATTCAAGCCAAAAATGTTCCCACTGCCCATGTGTGATATATAGGTTAATATTTAAAATAGAGCTCCCAAGGCTAATACGTGTAAGGACCTCTTTGTAAGCAGGTTGCATTTCATCTTATCTCAGGCAAGTATCAGCTGCTGCCCTGACCTACTTAATAACCATGGCTAGCAGGGCCCAGCAGGGCAGCACAAACTTGTGCTTGGTATCACCACTGAAGTTGTTCAAGTAAGTGAATGAAGCTGACTCATCAGGAACCAGGTGTATCAAAATACAATTTATTCTTAAAATGGCTACAGTTTACATAGAACAGCAGAGGTTACATAGGAAAAAAAGTGCAATTAGTAGAAAAGGTTTATTTCACCTTCATGTTTATCTTTTCAGTGCATTGCAAAAATGTTACATGTTTTAGCAATGGGCAAAACTATAGCTTGCATTTTGATGTTAACACCACTTCTGCAGAGCTGTGTGAAGCTATGCCAGTATTCACACCTACTGAGTACATACTGAACAGTCTCCCACATGAACGTTACAGGAAAGATTATCTTTACAGTTTTATAGTTCAGAAAGCTAAACTACAAGCATACATATACAAAATATACATTAGTTTATTGCAGTCTAAAAAAAACAACAAAAACAAGTTTAAACTTAAAAAATGAGGTATGATAAAATAGAGCAGTTTCTATTTGTTTGCAAGCCTATATTCTTTCTAGAAAAAAAAATCCTGCTCTTTTTAAAGAAACTAGCTTTTACCAAGTATAGTTAATTCACTGTCTTCAATATGAAGGACCTTGCCTATGTTACATAGTTTTGAAAAGTTATAACTAACTTTGCAATAGGGAGCAGGTCAGTCAACCAGACACTCTGATTAGATCAGGTGAGCAGCCAAGTTGCGTAACGCTGCTATAGACTAGGACGGCTGCAGAGCTTTGTCTGCTTCCTGGACTAGCCGTGGCTCCAGCTATGACTTTCAGCATTTAGGGTTTTTTGAAGGCACATTTTTCTTTCAGCATTAGAAGGTTACTGTCTGCTTGCTAGGCAAGCAGGATGGTCAAGGTAAAAGCCAAGGTTATACTTGCGAATAGTATCTTGTATTTAAGAACAAGGCAGATAAGGTCACAAATGTCCTCCCAAAGCAGTGATTATTTTCACCCCTCGCTTTCTTTTGCATTGTTTTCTATTTTAACTTTAAACAGACTTTTCTGATGCTTTTAGAAGGCTTTGGAAAGAAAAAATAAAAATCTGTGCATCTCTACACACTTTTCCTCTTCCCTTTTTCCACCTTTCCATCATCATTAAGTTCTTTATATCTTTTTAACTTGTACCGAAGTCACAGTCCCTAGCGCTGCCCTCCTACAAGGATGTGGAGGGTCTGCTGCAACCCCTGTCCTGACCACGTCACCTCATCTCTACCACGATCCTACCAGCACAAAACAAATCATGGTGTTCTGTTCACCTACCATCTTGCACACACACAGCCACTACAGCTTGCAAAGCTATCACTGCCTCTTGTACATTCTCACACTTGTCTACTGACTGAGAAAAATGACTAGCAGAAAGAAAGCAACATATATTTAAGACACAGGCGTGCTATTTCTATGGCAGATGGCAGACAAATGGGCTTTATCTTGCTTTCTTTCCAAGGATAAGTTTCTGCTAAGAACTTCAGTACTGCAATATGGTTAGTAAGTAAGTCCCATGTTCTAGTCATCTTGTACAGACAGTGAGAGCCTGCTGGGTGGTTTTGTTATATTGTGCATGAACCAGGGAACTAACACTGTTCTGTTGCAAATGGAAGACACTTCCTAGCTAGCATCTATCACCAATATGGTGATGCATTTTCAATCCCTCCCATGCTCTGCCACTCAGGAAAGAGACCTCTGGACATCCTTGGGCTGCCCAAGTGATCAGCCTCTCTGTCCTGCACTTTCTTTGGAGCCTGAAGATCTATACAATCTTCTCTGGCAGATGGTATTTGAACACCATCTGGTTTCCACTCTGCATGGAGAATCTTGTAATTCTGACCCTCATTATTGTCCCAGAAGATGTGTTCTCCACTTTGGTAAGAAATGCAAAACTCTATTTTCTCTTCAGAGGAGATGGCAGGAGGCAGGTCAATGGTAAAAGAGAAGGTGTCGTTGTCAGAGTCACCGTAGACATTGTTCATGTATACGCACTCAGCGTCCGTGAAAGTCTTCCAGGTATCAAATGTAATTCGAACCTGAACCTTCTTCTCAAAGCTGATGTTTTTCACCTTGATGGTCCCCGACAGCACCCGCTCTTGGAGGGCACAGTTCTCCAGACAGACTGAGTTCTTCTGCAGGCGCCTCCGAAAGTCCAGGTAGTCAGATGAGGGCCGAGGGAAACCCAGAATCAGGCTTTTCTCTTCGTGCAGCTTTAAGCCAGACGTGATGCTCTCAAGGCTGAGCAAGTCGAACTGCAGGTCCCACACGGGGTGCTCCTGGAACTCGGAGAAGGTGTGTATGGCCGTCAGGGAGAGCCCCTTCGAGTCGGCGAACACGACTCGCTTCTTGGCTCGGGCCGATGGGCGGCTCCAGTCGCTCTTCTGCGCTTCGGGGTCCCGTTTCACGTTGAGGCAGGGGCGCAGAGGTTTGAACCTGTTAACCAAGTTGTTTCTCTGACAGCCCTCGAGGGGGCTGAGGAAGCGCTTCAGCGGCGGTGAGTGCGCCAGGCAAATCCTCATGGCCACGTCCACAGGCATGATGGGGCTCGGCAGGGGTCTCGGATCCAAGATCTGTATCATGCTGAAATAGGCAGAGATAGCAAGTTACATTACCTGCTGTGCCAGGGAAGGTGCCTCTTAAGAACGCATTTTTGCTTCATTTCCCGTCTTAGTTATACATGGCCTGCCCTTTGCATAGCTTTGAGTAACACTGATTAAATTAAAATTGACTGCCAGTCAGTTCAAGCTAAGGAAGTAGGGTGAGAGTATTCAGCTAGTTTTTGCAGATTCCAAACTCCTGATTCAAACTCCTGTTGGCTTTTCCAGACCTTTATGAAAACGGAATTTTGGGACATTGTATTTTCAAAAGAATATTTATTCTAGTAACCAGTGCACAAAGGTCTCGCAGTTAAAATACTCATGTACTTACTTTAAAGGTGCCTCTGTTAGATGCTGAAACGGGTCTTCAGATTCATGCAGGCTGCATCAGCCACTTCATCTGTGAAGGGCACTGCACTTGTTAAGCAAGTTACCAGTCCCATCTCGCTGCATCAGACAGGACAAACCAGCCTGTGGTTCCCAGCAGTTAAATGTGTTTGTTGGACAATCTGGGTTTTGTTAGTTAGGATGGACAAAACCGCTAAGGCTTCCCTAAGAGCCGGAGCTATTAAGCAAGGTCTGGATAACAGCGCTGTCCTGCACTGGTACGTCTGGCTGTTAACCGAGCAAGGGAAAGAGGGGAAGATGGAGCCCATTTTCATACCATGCATCAAGAACTACCTCAAAGTATTTTTTTCTACTATCCCTGCAGTTCATGCTTTAGCAAGTCTTTACTAAGAATGGTCTAGCTCAGTTTGTTCCTAAGCCTCCCTGTGCAGTACTGAACCCCTACTATGTATGCAAGAGCCTGGTCCTTTTCGGGCCAGCCTGCATTTACATTGGGGGAAGGGAGCTCTTCTCTGAGAGTCATGCAGTCCTTGTTGGAAATAAGGGTTTTTTTTTTTTTTTTTTTAATAGTAAAAAATAACTCGATTTACCACTTAATGTATATAAAAGTCTTTCAGCCTCCCGTTGCTGCCGGCGGTTTTCCCGAACCCCGCAGTTCTCCCCTCGGCGGCTGCTTAGGGCGCTCCTCGCCCCTCCAGAGGGACAACAGGTTCGGCCGCAGCTCGGGCCCCCCCTGCCCTCCCCCGAGCCCGGCCGTGCGGCACTTACCTGCCGCAGTGCATGGGCGGCCGCCGGGCGGGCACTGCGGGCAAGCGGGCAGCGCGGGGCGGCCGCCGCCGCC